TTTAAAAATTATATTACGTCTATTAAAAATAAATAAAAGGAGTGTATTTTAAAAATAATCTCACAATGTATTTGTAAAACTAAAATTTTAGGAAAATGTTCTTCCAAAAAAAAAAAAAAAGGAAAATGTATTGCAATCTTCGTCTGACCGTAAAAAGAGGAAAAAACGTAACAGAGGCGGTCTAGATCCATGTCCCATTGCCACTTGAATTCCCATTTATTGTTCCACTCACAAAATCACGCTACCTGTCCTACTACACTCACTACTTTGAAGTGGTAATGGAAAGTAGAAACCAGTACTCTTTTATTTTGGTACAGAAACCAGTACTCTTTGTCTTTAACTTAAAGAGGAATGTGCATTCTTATAAATTCAACTAAAAACAAGTATTATTGGTTTTTTATGTCAAAATAAAGATTAAAAAATAGGTTCTTAATTTTAATAAGTGTTTTAATAATTTCTTGAAAGATATTAACTATGTATTATTGGTCCACTCATTTCATAACTCAAATTATATCTTTTTTTTATTTTAGCAATTATAATATTTAATTCAAATCATTTCTAACATCTTCAATTGGTAGAACTTATATTTTATTCTCTTTTTTTCTTTTTCTCCTTTTTTTTGTCTTATATATCAAAAATTGAAATATATGCTTTTTCTTAGTAAAAGAATTGTCTGTTTTGCAGGTTGTGTTTTCAAATTTAGAGGAATTGGACTTGTCTGGGATTAAAATAAATCAGTTGTGGATAACATCTTCCTACACTGTGACTTCTCAAGAAATCTTGAATTTCAAAAAGCTTAAAAGACTACGAATTTCTGATTGTAGCAGCTTAGAATACCTTTTTACCCCTTCCATGGTATCAGGTCTTGGGCACCTCGAGGACTTGTTTGTAATTTCTTGTCGAGATTTGAAACAAGTGATTATGGTAAAAGGAGTTGAGGAGGTAGTGAACACAGAGTTGATATTCCCACAGCTAAACTCCATTGAGCTACAATTTTGTGACAAGTTGTCAAGTTTCTATGTTGGAAGTTCTGCACTCAAGTTCCAATCGGCCATAAAAATTAAGATACACAGGTGTCCAAACATGATTACATTTGCTTCTACATTTTCAACAGAGCAAGAGAAAGAGACAGCTTATCAAGAAACTGAGGGACACCTTAGAAAGAAAAAACCTGATATTCGGAGTCGGACTATATTCTTTGATACGGTCAGTTTTTTCTTCACAAATTTAATATTTAAAGCAGTTTTAATTATCGTTACTCACAAACTATAATTTCCACTTCTTTGCAACATCACTCTTGCTCTGTTTTCTTCAATTAAAAAAGGCTAATTATAGTGCTTACAAATTTAATAAATCATTTAAATGTGTTTCAAAACAAAAACAAAATGCACATAATACTTCTTTGAGTCATTTTTAATTGTTATATTTTATTTAATTATGATTGTTAAGTCTCTGTTTAGAATAAATGTAATTTTGAATGTTTGGTTTAGTTTTCAAAATTTTAAAATCCTTAAAATAAAATTAAGGAGATTTATAAATTAATTAATTTGAAATTTCAAGTATTAAAATTAAAATTTTATATCTAATATACGTTTTCAATTTTAATTTTTAATGTTAATTTTTAAAATTATTAATTTTTAATTATTAAGTTTAAAAGTCAAAACAAAAACCTAACAGTTGCAATTCCTTGACACTAAACTTAAAAAATTAGGAAAATGTATTGCAATCTTCGTTTGGCCGTAAAGAAAAATGTAGGAGAGGTGGTCTAGATCCGTGTTCCACTACCACGTGGATCCCCATCTATTGTTCCCCTCACAAAATCTTATATTATATATTTTAAAAATCAAAACAAAAAACTAGGTTACAACTCCTTGACAATAAGCTTAAAAAATTAGGAAAATGTACTGCAA